TCTCTTTTGTCACGCCCAGTCTGTTACAGAAGACTTCGCCTATCACAGATCCAGCAGCTTTACCAGACATCAGACCAACTATGGATCCAGCAACAATGAATTTGCATCTTCATCAAGGAGACAGACCGATTAAGGATTACGTGGATGAATTTTGAGAGTTATGCTATGCTGTGGACTTTAATGATACTGCCTTAAAATACATTTTTCGTCACGGACTAAATGACTCTCTTAATTATCTTATGCCTCGCCATACCCTTCACTGGACTCTGGCTCAATATATTGACTTTGCACTCCGGTTGAGTGGTTCCTCATTTACTGTGGGGATTGCTAATGAGGAACCCTGCTATCCTCCAGTACCCACCACACCAAGAACATCTTCACACCCTGACTGTCATGTCAGGGCCTGCTCAATTATTGATAAACACGTCACACAGCATGAGCGTGAATCATGCGATGTCCGTCTTTGAACTCGCATGTGTCTGATCCACTAGGAGAACTGGAAAGTGTTGTAGACCGCTTCAAGCTTCAAACGGTAATGTCCAGTGTAGACATGACACAAATTTTTATTTAGTCGACATACAAAGAAAAAGATTACACACATTTAGAAAAACGTTAATATACATGATAATTTTCAGACGCAGCTAAAGCTTGTGTTAACGTTAGCTAACTTGATCATTAGTACAAACGGTAACTTTTAAAACAATGTTATTTGATATGAAAAGTACATAAAACCTGAATGAATATATGCACATTCAAATGCTGAGTGGCTACTCTAAACTGAATTTTAGTTTAAAGTTTTAATTACCTCAGTGTAGAGCTCAGATCCCTTCCACAGCGAGAGACAAAATGGCGATGGGTGCGAATCGGTTTTCTTCACAAAGGGGCGGGGTTTCTGAAGAAAACATAACTACTTTATTTAGCTTCAGCATGACTAATTCTATATGATTGAACATCCTTACAGAATAAATACATGGTACATGATTAAAATATGTTTAGATGAGAAACATAAATCATGTAGGAAATACAAAATGCATATTTAAAAATTCAACAACCTCCTCATTGCCATTTTTCAGTGTATTTGGAAGAATTTTCATTATATTCTTTTTTATATTTCTAAACAGATATCATCTTACATGTTAATACAGGGGGCAGAATGTAAATACATGGATAGAAACGTTAACAATGGTGTTAGATAAAATTTTAGTTAGACTATGTGTAGTTTCAATGCTTTTAGTCATCAACAGTGAACTGGTGTGTCTCCCCTGTAGAGCAGCCGCAGCACAGGATTAAGCAAACACACAGAGCCAGTGTACTGCCATAACATTCTCAAGTTTATTGCCATAA